GAGATTTAATATGGAAGAATGCAAATCGACTTTGACACCTGCTGAACTAAAGTTGCAACTGTTGAAAGATTCAGATTCAGATGATGTCGGTCCAACCCAATACAGAAGACTTATTGGGTCATTGTGGTACATTTGTCATACGAGGCCTGACTTAGCATACAATGTTAGTATGGTAAGTAGATTCATACAGAAATAAAAAGGCATCACACCTAGCAGCAGTGAAGAGGATATTAAGGCATCTGAAAGGAATGCTCAATTATGGCATTTATTTCCTGCAACTGATAAAGGGAAAGAATGAAAGTTAGTGGGGTACACTGATTCAAGTTGGTGTACTGATGTCGAGGATTGAAAATACACAGTAGGATATGTGTTTATACTAGGTGGTGCATTAATTGCTTGGAGTTTGAGAAAGGAACCAATAGTGGCATTATCATCATGTGAAGCAGAGTATGTAGCTGCTTCTCTTTGTGCATGTCAAGCAACATGGATGGCCAACTTAGTCGAAGAAATCATAGGGAAAGATCATGGAACAATTAGCATAAAGATTGACAACATGTCAGCTATCAACCTAACGAAGAATCCGATAGCACATGGTCGAAGCAAGCACATCGAAATGAGGTTCCACTATCTTAGAGAGCACGTAGCAAATATGAAGATGAACTTGGAACATTGTAGAACTGAGAATCAGATTGCAGATATCATGACGAAGGGTGTGCATGTCAAAGTATTCAGATTGACTAAGAGCTATGATGAATGTAGATATATTAGACACAATGAATTAGGTGGTGTGTTGAATTGTAATTCATAGTGTCGAAAAGTGTCGAATTATGTTAGCTATCGAAGTGATGTAAGCCGATTGTTACATATAGATTTGATTTAGGTCTAAAATAGATATTTTTGGGCTTTTCTAGTTTTGGGTTTTTTAGCTTATGGAGAAAGAAAACTCATTATAAATAGAGGGAGTAACCCCTATTTTTGTATCTCATTGTATTCACAAAATTTTGCAGTTGCAAAGTGAATAAAATTTTCCATAGTTTGTTGTAGGGATGTTCGCGGTTCGGTTTGGATCGGTTATAAAGCAAAAACTCATTCGATCCAAAGATAAATTTATTTGCAGTTTGGTTCGGTTTTGGATGATATATTAAAAAAAAATCGATCCAATCCAATTTAATACGGCTTAATTTGGATCGATTTTTGGATATCCAAATTACAAATTACATTTTTATTAATATTATAAAAATACTAATAAATAATAGGTTTGATATAATATATAACATATAGTATATTAAAATATAATATTACCAAATGAGAGTGATCGATTATGGTTGAAATAATAAAAATAAATAGATTAAACCAAATAAATAAATATTATTAAAAAATAATTATCATCTAATAATAAATTTGTTAGTGCACAAGATGATGATGACAGAAAGAATGAGAGAATATATTTTATTACTCTGCAGAAAGACGGCTACAAAAGTGTATAGAAAGATTGATTACAAATGACATCTACCACTAGTTTATTTATACACAAAGTAAATTTCCACGTAGGCCCTAACAAATGATAAACTTAAAGAATAAGTTAACTTAATTGCTAAGCTAACAAACGAACTATAACCCCAAAAGCTAAACATACTTTTGGGTGTAACCTCAGAAGTTCGTGCTTCTGACTAACAACCTCAGAGGCTCTACTGCTTCTGAGCAACACTGCTTATGAGTAATAACATCAAAAGCTTATGATTCTAAAAACAACTTCTGAATATGAATCACTTTCAACACCATCCCTTAATTCATATTCATCTAACCAAAATCTACAACATCAATTTCATCCCTCAAATGGATAAGGTGTTCAGTCTTGACAGATTCACAAGTTGACAACGCAACCACCGATTTCTTCTTGGAGTACAAAGAAATGTGACTTCCCAGATACTTGAAAACATATCTAGAAGTACTTCTTTTGTCAACTCTGTCTCCACACTAATCAGAGTCTGAATAACATTTTAGCATTGTATCTGATCTAACACCAGAAGGGAACAAAACTCCATACTTCAGAGTCTCTTCAGTATCTTGCAGCTTATCAAACTCTGCAAATCTCCTTGGTATTTTTCTGATTCGTTGTGGCCTCTAGACTTGTTCAGAATCTCCTTCTGATTCTGGAACAGTATCTCCTTCTGGACTTTCTTCAGAAGTTCGACTACCACCAGAAGCTACACCTTTGTTGACTTATGGACCTCATCCAGAACGACTACCTTTAGAAATACAACCTTCAAAAGTTGAATCGCCTTCAAAAGCTCTGCCTTCAAAAGTTCCACCTTCAGAAACATGACCACTGTTAGAGGCTAGATTACCTTTAGAATCTCCTCCTTCAGAAGGTCCACCTTCAGAGTCATGATTACCATCAAAAACATGATCATTTCTAGAATCTTGTTCTCTGGAAACTACGTCTTCAAAATTTTACCTTCCAGAAACATGATCACCATCAGATTCAAAATTTGGATCAGAATCAGATTCACCATCTGACTCGAGAAGATTCTTCATCTTCTGACTTGAGCTCTTCTTTAGAACTTTCAAGTTCTAACTCATCTTCAGAATCAGAATCTCCTTCAGATTCTAACTCATCTTCTGATTCTTCTTCAGACTCAGCAATCACCTTCGAATTCTGACTTTTCTTCAGCTTCAGAGTCATCTTCTAACTCTGACTCATCTTCAAAAACCTCAGATTCTGACTCATCTTCAGAATCTTCAAAGTCGTCTTCTGATTCTGACTCATATTCAAACAGTTCTTCATAATATTCAAAGTCATCATCTTCCCCTTCAGAATCAGAAAATGACAATTGCAATGGTTCCTCATCATATTCATAAGCCATTAATAGCACACGTTCATCATCTGAATCTCCTCTAGCTATTTTTGCTTCTTCTTTGTTTTACCAACAATCTTTAGCAAAGTGGCCAAACCTATTACAACAGTAACACTAAACCATTTTCTTGTCATACTTCTCCTTTCCCTTCTGACATTTCTTTTCATCATAATAGAAGACTTCTGACTTCTGAGACCTACCATGTCTTTTTTTGCTTTTAGTTCCTCTTGACAAAAGAAGCCTTCAGAGCTAGCTCAACTTCTCTTTCAGAAGTTCTTTCAATCAGACGCAACTCTTACGCCTTTAGACTGCTTTGCAGCTCTTCTATTCTCATGGTCAGATCTTTTGAATGTTCAATTGCTACAACAATGTAATTAAATTGAGGGGTAAAAGACCTCAATATCTTCTCAATGATTACTTATTCAGAAAGGATTTCTCCACAAGCTTTTATGTCATTAGTGATCAGAATCACTCTGGAGATGTACTCAGATACCTTCTCGTTGTCCTTCATGTTGAGATTCTCATACTGCTTTCGTAGAGACTGGAGCTTCACCTTCTTCACTGATGCATCACTATCATAACACCTAACCAGTGTGTCCTGCGCAACCTTCGCGGTCGTCGAATCAACGATTTTCTCAAACATGTTCACATCCACACACTGATGAATATAAAACAACACCTTCCGATCTTTCTTCCTTTTGTCTCTCTGTGCATTTCTCTATTCCTCTGTCACATCCATTGCAACCGAAAGTTAACCTTCGGTAACAAGCTCAAAAACATCTTGATCACCGAACAACACGTGCATCTGAATCATCCAGCGATTCCTGTTTTTGCCATCGAACACTGAAAGTTTGGTGCTCATACTACCGTTTACATTCATCTTCAACCTTGTGCAAGTCACTCAGATCTCATCAAATACAGTGTTTCCCAATCCCACGGGAATTTAAGAAACGAAATCAATCACACAACGTCTCACCGTTTCACTCGTGTTTCTCGTGTTTCCCTATGAATCCGAATCGGAGCTCTAGATACCAATTGTTAGTGCACAAGATGATAAAGACAAAAAGAATGAGAGAATATTTTGTATTGCTCTGCAAAATAAAGGCTACAAAAGTGTAGAGAAAGATTGGTTACAAATGGAAACTACCACTAGTCTATTTATACACAAAGTAAATTGCCACGTAGACCCTAACAAAAGGTAAATTTAAAGACTAAGTTAACTTAATAGCTAAGCTAACAAAACAACTAGAACTCCAGAAGCTAAACATACTTCTGGGCGTAACCTCTTAAACTCATGCTTCGGACTAACAACCTCAGAGGCTCTACAACTTCTGAACAACACTGCTTTTGAGCAACACTGCTTCTGAGTAATAACAGCAGAAGCTTATGATTCTAACAACATCTTCTGAATATGAATTACTTCCAATAAAATTTATCTAACATATCATACTAATAAAAAATAAATAAGCATAAAAATATCTACATGCGGTTCGGTTTGGTTTGGATCGGTTTTGAAAAATCAATCTAAAATTCGATCCAAACCGGGCAATTTTCACAAAATGACATCAAAAAACATTCAATAAATTTTGGTCTTTTGTGGTTTTCGATTTTTTTATCGGTTTACGATTTTTATTTGAATTGGTTTAGATTTAAACACCCTAGTTTGTGACAGACAGAAACTCTGCAAAAATCCTAATCTTTTTTCTTCTTTAAATTTTTTTAACAAACAAAATCAGGCTTAAAATTAACAACCGAGAAGTTTCTTGAAACTAAAATTCTATCCAGATCAATAAATTAATGTTATTTATGAAGTCAAAACACCCCCAACAAGACAATTTAATTGGTTGAGAGAAATTAGAACACTAGAACCCTAGAAACTGAAATTAATGTTATCTTTGGGACTCTTTGTCTTTTCTACCATATATTTGAAAATTGGATTTTCTAGGGAAAATTTGGATTTTAAACATTTCTAGGGAAAAATTGGATTTTCTTGGAGAGGAATAATACACCAACATTGAGCAATGCTTTATTAAAAAATTTCACAATTCATGAGAAGTATTGAAGTGCTAAAAGAAACACATTTCCACCATCTGTTTGATAACAATGCCTTAACTATTTCTCGAGTTCAGATTTGTTAAAATCTCACCATCCTTTACCTATTAACCACAACCAGTCAAGTGTTACCCCTGCAAAAAGACCTCCAAGAAGACACAACACCAACATATTTCCCAAAGCATTTTGTTCAGGTCCCTACAATATTAAAAACATCAACTCTTAACAAATTTATATATATATATATATATCAACAATTCTAAATCTCAGACAGTGAAAACTGAAAACAAACCCACCTTGTAACCTTTAGGCGCAGAAGTGAAAACACATATAGTGAGGTAACCATTGGTTAACCCCAAGAATGATGTCAACAATATCATCCACCCCTGAGTACCATACTTTGCAGTGAAATAAAATGCCGGTATAAGTAAAAAACGAGAAATGACTGCTATAGTGATCAACTTTCTCGACTCCAAATTTAAGATTTTCACAAGTGGAATGTATCGTCCGATAAGATCACATATATTAAACATAGCAATTAAAACAAGAGCATACCTGAAAAAGATGGAAATATCAATCAGCTCTTAAATCAGCACATATATACAACATAGAACGCAGGAAGTAATAAAACAATGCTCTGATGAGCGTACCAGGTGCCTAAACTATGTGATCCAGTATCTTCTGATAAGAATCCGGGGAAAATAGACAGTGTTAGCACATAAATTAGGAACAAATCAAGTGCATAATCAATGTTTTCTACAAACAATTGTTTTATTCCTTTGCGCTCGTGCTGTTTTGAATCTTCCTTGGCCTGAAAAAATATACATTAGTCTTGTAACCTGAATCTCAAAAAATAGGAATGTCCAAGAAAAGAATATGTACTTCGCCTGGTGAGGTCTGGATGCCTGCAGCGGCAAGGTCAGCTGAAACAGTTTTGGATCCTTCAGATGCTGTTTTTGAACGGTAATACTTCACTATTGCTAGTTTCGGAAAGACAGATGCATAGAGAACAACACACAGAAGCTCAAAAAAAGATGATAAGGCAAAGAACAGAACTGCAGGGCCATCATAATTACAAATGATCAGTATAATGACAAACCGATAAAAGTTTAAAATCATGAAATGCTTTCAAGATTAGCATTGGTAAAGTAAACTTACTAGCTCCTTTGCGAAGACCGTTTGGAGAATTCTCAAATACTGCTTTTGTAATTAACCTCAAAACCGATGTTATGGCCCCTGATGCTGCAGAACCCGCAAGGAAAGACTGCAGAAATAAAACCATTAAAAGAGTGCATATGTTGAAGATATTGTTTGAACCTTTTAGCAGTAATTTTATCGGCGATATTGACCTGAATGAATTCTGGAAGCATGTAGGACAAGTCTCCAACCATTCCGCCTTGTACATGAGCATCTGCTATTCCAAATACACCACTAACTATGCATATGCCAATGAAAGTTCCAATCCCTCCTTTACCAGATGTTGCTAAATCCAACTAGGGAAAGTAAACAAGAAAAGTAAAAGAAAACCGAAATCCATATTCTAGAGAATCAAAGTCTTAGAAACAAATGTACAGGATTTACAATTAGCAATGCCAAAATGCCAAAGAAATAGACGGTGTATCCAAACAAGTTCCGCATTCTTGTATTGATTTTTGCCTCATTGTAAGCCAGAATTGCTATTGTTCCAAATGCAAATGGCTGATATACAATGGTGAGCACCCTAGAGGGGTGGTATTTCTGCACAAGGAATAAAGGAAATTTATTAAAAGACAATCCTGTGCAGACCCAGACACTAACACAGACACACATTTTTTCAGAGGTGTCAATGCTAGTTACAGAGTCTCGGAGAACTATAAAATGAAACATGCAAATGCATTGAAGAAAACAAACTACCAAGATTCAGGATACTAGCTTATATACAATGCTGCTCTATACCAAATAAATTAGCAACAAGATTAATTCAGAAAGTAGAGAAATTACCGGAAACAAGTAAATATAGTAATCTACTATAGTCAACATACTGTTCCAAGCAAAAAGACCCCCAATGCCAAGAAACCAGCAAATCACTATTGCAGCATATTTACCCTGCCAGTGCCAAAGAATTTATAGAACAAATAATGAATGTTTAATCAAAGTAATAATTAAATTAGTAGAATAGATATCACCTCAAGACGTGGTGGAGGCTCAGTGTCGACCATGGCTACCTTAGATGCTGAATTTTTCTTCAATCAATCAACCACTGAAGTTAATTCAAACTTAGGATTTTGTACATATGGTTAACAGATGAGGTCTATAGTTAGGATTTGGCTTTATTTATTTTAACATTGATTGAAGTGAATGCAAAGTTTAAATGAACTATATTTTATGCAATTCATTGAGATGGTAGTTCAATGGACTTTGTCTTTATGACAGTCTTAAAGGTTTTTGAAAAACGATCCGCGACAGTAGCGACAAAACGGTGTTGACAAATATTGGTATGGATTAATTCACTTTTTTTATGATAAAAAAAATAAATTATGGTTAATTTCCATTATGACGACCACAATCAGTATCATAGTAAATATAGTGACTGAAATTGCAATCGTAGTTATAATGGTTGAAACATCACTCTAAATAGACGTAATGTGTATAGAATCTGCATGTTTATACCTTATCAAGTGAGATTATGACAGCACAAAAAGATTAACTTCTCCTAAGTAATGATATTTATATGGAAACAAACAAAATGAGACTGTACTTTGGTGATGGATACGTTTGTTGTGTGACTTGATGACAAGGAGAGGTTGTTTTTAAGTGTGGCTAGAACTTTGTGTGGGCGTGGTATAGGTCAATTTTCAGATGGAAATCTTGGGGAATTGATAGTACAAGGGAAAGTGTAAGATAAGATTTTGGATGGGGAGGAGGTTAATTGAGTATTTTTAAAATCAAGATAATTAAATTAAATAAACTTAGGTAAAATATATTGTTGTAAAAAAAAAGTAAATTATATATTGATGATTATTTATTTTTTAGTCAAATTATAGCATCTCTAGAATAATTAGTTTATATATTAAGGGCCAACTTTATTAGGTGGATAATGAAAAATATGGAAAGCTAATAGAAACTAACTTTTGTATAGCTACTCTCTTTCTTTTCTATTATGTTCTACTATAAAAAAGGAAATAAATATCACAAATATGTAATTATTATTTAATTAAAGTGGGTAAATAAAATCTCTTCGTGATATGTTAACAGTTGTAAGTTGAAATGGTAAATCTTCATATTGACGAAGGTCTTGAAATCAAAGCATTACATGGAGATTAGAAGGAAATTGTTCAATAAAATAAGCTTTGTTTATATGGTGATGGTAACTAATGGACATAATTGTTGTATCAATTTTTTGGTGAATGCAGATCTGTATCAATTTTTTTAGTGTTATTGGATATAGTTGTATCAATTTTTTTGGTGAATGTAGGTTTGTATTAATGAAATTGGTTTTGTGAATTAGGATTTTTTTTATAAATAGCATTTCAAATTGATTCTTAGTGTTTAATACTTTAATATACTATTTGATTATTTTTACTGGAGAAAAAAAAGAGATATTTGTGTTTAATCTATTCTAAAATGACCTTTTTTTTTAGAAGTTTACGGCAGAATAATTGATATTTTTTTTACACATTTTTAACAATTTGCAAGGGTTTTTAACCTTCGAAAATAAAACCCCCTCAATTTAAATAAAATATTTGTTTTTTAATCGATATATTGAGTCACAAATGCATATTAATCCTTGTTGTCATGTCACGTCAGTCCACTTAACATTTTCAGAGCCAAATTAACAGAATGGACCAAGTTATTTAACGTAAGTATTGTTAAAGGACTTATTTATAATATTTATTACATAAGGGACCAAATTAAAATATGAAATTATATTATGGAATTTCAGGACTAAATAAGTCATAAAAAAAAAAGAAAAAAAGAAGACAAAAGGAAAAAATACAAAAAAATAATAAATAAAGTATCAAAAAGAAAGGAAAAAAAGGCCAAAAGTAACAAAAGTCGAAAGCGGGAATTCAATTCGAACAACTAAACAAATATAAAGTTATGCGAATTAAAATTATTAATGAACAATTAAGTAAATATGAAGTTATGCAAATTTAAATTAGTAATGAAGAAAGGAAGGTTGTCCCACCATAAGAAATTCACTATATTATGATCAAATTTGCTAGTTTGTTTGTGTAACAGTTTCATTCTCTAAATATATGTTAGTAAATCAAATTCATCTATAAATTATTGCAATATCTATTTCCAAGATCCTAAAAAATTAACTCCTCTTTTGAAGAGTATGAATGGAAGTTTGAGAATTGCTCTCGATCCACACATTATGTCAACATCTCGCATCAATATTCTCAATAGCTAGTATAAATCCATAAGTTCGGCTCTCAAAACATTTACTTTCATAAGACATAAGTCATAACATATATACTCATTGTGATGATTACGAGCAATTGCTCCTCTTGTCGCTCTCAAATTATAATAAGACTTGTTTGAGTTTATATTTGTTCACATTACCTTTGGCTTTCTCCAAATCATGAAAGCATTCTTTTACATTCATGCATCATCTATCTATTTGAAGAATGTCTAGAATTGGGATTTTTTGTTTGTAGTTTGCAATCTAGTCTTTCGATAGAGAAGAACTTAGTTTGGTATGGGCCAATATGTTGCTCAATTCAACATGTCAATTAATTTTAGAGTTTTTTAAATGAATATCATTACGAGCTACCCATATACGATAAATTGTATGGGCCTTAACTATTATAATCATGTCTCTGACTTTAGAGTGCCACCCTAACTTGATAACCTAAATTAAACCTAGAGTTTTTGGAAAAGTGGAAATATTGAGCTTCCTGGTAATTACTTCCAAATTTGGATTGTAACATCGCAATAAATTTGTATGTGTGGATGTCTCCTCTTGCAAATTAAAAAGGCTACATATTAAAACTATAGTGTATCTCATTTTCGCAAGGTTATCGTTGCAAGAGAGTTTTATTTTGATGAGTCTCTAAATTGTGCAAGATCAAGATGAGAGAATGAAATTTTTCCAAATGAAACATTCACTCCAAAATATGATGATTTATACAAAGGTATTATATGCATATTATCCATTGCTCGAGTGAACTCACACTAACTTATCTTCTAGTTGACCTTGTAAAAGATACATATGTTATATTTGAGAAGCAATCTCTAGAAATTGATTTGAGATGAAGGGTGGAGTACCCACTTACCTCATTCAATTAGGCTAATAACTTTAATATTTATTCTACTTCTTATTTTTTTTATTGGTTTGTCTAGAAGTTTGTTGAGATTGTAATCTCTTGTGTCGAAGCAGCATGTTACTCGACAGAATAAAGGTGTATCAAATTAGTCTAATTGTCTGTCGAGTTGTATAGTATACCGAAATATTGAAGCAGATTGTTTTCCACAGAATTTTGACTTAGGTCTAAATAGTTATTTTGGGCTTTTTGTATTTGTGGGCTTTTGCTTAGGGAGCAAGGAAGCTCATTATAAATAGGGAGTAACCCCTATATTGTAAACAACCAGTATTCACAGAATTTTGTAGTTGCAAAATGAATAAGATTTTCCACAGTTAGTGGGAAAAACTCTATAGAAAATCATCTTATTCCCCTTATTTTGTTCAAACCCTAATCTTCTTCTTCCCAATTATTTTCTTTCTTTCTCTATTGAAATTGTTGCACAAAATCATCTTACAACTAAGGTTGGTTGATTCACTCAAGTGAAGAGTGAAGAACAAGGGATTTCGACAGGGTTGATTGAATCTTGTTCATCAAGATTGATTGGAATTCTCCATAGGTTTTGGTTGATTTCGAATATCTGGTATCAAGAGCTCCGTTTGAGCGATTCAAGGGAAGAAAATCATGATGCAAATGAATCATCCAAACGGCTATTTTCCAGTAAGTCTTCTGATTCTGAAAGTTAATAACTATGAGAATTGGTGCAAGCAGATGAATATTGTGTTATGTTGTCAAGATCTTTGGGGTCTTGTGAAAGAAGGGTTATAACCACTTGAAGAAAATGAAACAGAGTAAGAAAAGGATGCACACAAATAATTGAAGAATAAGAATTATAAATCTCTCTTTATAATTCATCAATGTCTGAGTCTAAACAATTTTGAAAAGGTGAGTGATGTAGAATCTACAAAAAAAGCCTAGGAGATTCTTGAAAGGTCCTTCGGAGGTGCAAAACACGTAAAAGAGGTGAGGTTACAAACTCACAAATGAACATATGAATTGTTTCAAATGAAAGAAAGTGAAATCGTTACTAATTTCTTTACCATGGTTACGAAACTAGTGAATCAAATCAATGTATGTGGAGAAGCGTTAACAACAAGATCAGTTGTTACAAAGATATTAAGATCTTTGGCTCCTAAATTCGACCACGTGGTGGTAGCCATATGTTGTACCCCAAAATTTTCCCTCCCTTTTTATTCAAGACATTCTCCTAGGGTTCTCAAATGCTCAAGGTTGCTCAAGAATTGATCAGACAAATTCTCCTCCTAAGCAATGGGTCTATAACTAGGGTTTCATTTTTCTCAAGGAAGTTTGGGTTTTTAAGGCCTCAAGAGGTTTTCATGGTTCCTTGTATGTCTCTAAGAATGCTAATACTAAGTTTCATGCCTTGAATCACAAGTTTGTTGAGTCAATGGCTCAGATGACTGATAATCAATTGTATTGAACAAAAAGTCAATTGTGGTCAACATACAGTCAAACTTCAAGATTTTTGGACAACATCAAGTAGGGAAATTGAGAGAAGTATGACCAGTGCAAGTAGGGAAATTTTTGCCAAGGCAATTTGGACTTCATGCATTTGGTCAAAATGCATGAAGTCCAAATTGAGCAAACTTGAAATTTTGATCTATTGGGCTATTGTTTCAGAGTCCAAATGTTTGCTACACTCTATATGCACCTCAAAACTTGTTCATACACCTCTCTTTGGTTTTGTTATTTTTTAAAGTTTTATTAATTTAAAGGTAAAAATAAAATAAAATAGGACAAAGCTCATTACACAAGTCCAAGCCCATCATGTTGTGACCTAATTCAACCTATATATTCACTCAAATTCGAACATGAAGGCCACAAACCATTATATAAAGAAATTTTTCCAAAATCTCAAAATTCTCAAGAATCCTAAAACCACTCAAAAC